AAAAGCTGAAGTTGCCAACCACAAAAATCGAACCCTTCGAAGTCCGAGTAGCCAATAGAGAAAGGCTACAATGTACTGAGTCGTTCTGGAAGGTGCCAATCAAGTTTAACGGAGTAACTGTAAAGGCCGATCTCTACGCCTTACCTTTAGTTGGACCGGATGTCGTTCTGGGGGTTCAATGGCTCGAGGGGTTAGGCAGGGTGACTACTGATTATCGAACAGGAATTATGGAATTCAACTCTGGAGGTCGACAAGTCACTCTGAGTACGGGCACTGAAAAAGGTACTAAGGAAGTAGGGCTGAAAAGCATCGAAAGAGTTTGGCGAGGTGGCGGCCAAATTTTTGCAGTAGTGGTCGAGAACACTAAGGCGCACATAGACCGAGATAAACGACAACAAGGTGATGTGCGCGAACTTCTCGAGGAATTCGAAGGAGTACTGGGCGAGCCTAAGGGACTACCACCGCACCGAGAGTTCGATCATCGCACACCACTGATTAATGAACAGCATGCCATACATGTCCATCCTTATAGGTACGCTCACTTTCAGAAAACCGAGATCGAATGGCAAGTTGCCGAGATGCTCGAATCAGGACTAATCCAGCATAGCAAGAGTCCATTTTCTTCTCCAGTCTTGTTAGCCAAAAAGAAGGACGACACGTGGAGGTTCTGTACGGACTACCGAGCTTTGAACGCTGCAACTATCAATGACCGATTTCCTATCCCTAGCGTTGACGACATGCTCGATGAGTTAGCCGGGTCTCGCTATTTATCAAAGCTCGACCTGAGAGCTGGTTACCATCAGATTTGACTCCACAAGGCCGACATCCCAAAGACAGATTTTCGTACGCACCAAGGGCACTACGAGTATTTGGTCATGCCATTCGGATTGTGCAACGCCCCATCCACTTTCCAGTTCGCTATGAATTCTATCTTCAAAGAGTATCTACGTAAGTTCGTTTTGGTATTCTTTGATGATATCCTGATCTATTCGAAGTCGTGGGGCGAACATCTTAGGCATTTGAGAGTAGTGCTCGAAATTTTGGAGGCCAACTCATTCCACATCAAACCATCCAAATGTTCATTCGGGCAGAAGATGGTTTAGTATCTAGGGCACTTCATATCACACGAGGGCGTGAAGGTTGATCCACGAAAAATTGAGGCTATGGTGGATTGGCCTAAACCAACAAGTCTCACGCAGTTGAGAGGATTTCTAGGACTCACGGGTTACTACAGAAAGTTCGTAAAGGACTATGGAACCATCGCCAAGCCATTGACAGAGATGACTAAGAAAGGCAGGTTCACTTGGACCGAAGCTAGCGAGAAGGCGTTTGGGAAACTGAAAGAAGCCATGACTACTATGCCAGTGCTCGCCATGACATTGGGACTGGAGCTGTGTTAGTGCAAGAGGGACGACACTTAGCTTATCTCAGCAAAGCACTAGGCACTACACGGTTGGGTCTATCGGTGTACGTGAAGGAGATGCTAGCAGTTGTTGAGGCTGTAAGGTGGTGGAGGCCTTATCTATTAGGCCGACGTTTTCAGATTGTTATTGATCAGCAACCTCTTAAGCATCTATTGGAGCAAAGTATTGTTACCCCCTGACAGCAGAAGATCATATCAAAGCTTATGGGGTTTGACTTCGAGATAATCTATCGACCGGGTCGACAGAATGCAGTAGCTGACGCACTATCCCGATGAACGGATGTAGCCGAGCTAAATGCTATCATAGGGCCAGCTTGGACTATTTGGGAGGAAATCAGGAAGGCGCAAGTGGAGGACACCTA